ACTCATTTAGTGATGAATTCAAATTTGATGACGAAGAACGCACTTTGAGACTAATAATGTTTGGAGACGGCTTTAATGGGTAATGAAAAGAAAAACTTTAATATAAGTTTAAGTAACAGCAAATGTACAACGTTTCGACAAGGTTTTGTCATCATCAGGTACAAGTTGTACGTTGTCGAAACGTTGTACATTTGCTGTTACGTTAAAGTTATATTAAAGTTTTTCTTTTCATTACCCATTAAAGCCATCTCCAAACATTATTAGTCTCAAAGTGCATTCTTCGTCATCAAATTTGAATTCATCACTAAATAAGTGTTTTTCATCTGTTGTTTTTGAAAACTACTCCAAGAATAAGAGTTGTTTTCAAATATATTGTTTACTACCAGTTGACAGCGAATAATAATTTTACTTATTTTTTTGTGATTTTAGCATCCAGTTCTCTTTTTCCTTTAATTTCTTTATTCATGGGGAAAGTACAGTCTGTACGGCCGTGGATGTCCGACAGCACTCGGCCGTTCATCGACTTACAAGACAACATCTCCTTCACGCCCAGAGCTCCCACTCTGGTTTGCCAGGTAAATGATGATCTAGGGCTTACTTAAAAAAAAAACTGAACAGAAGAATTAATGACATTAACTGCTGAAACGATATCATTGTTTTTATATGGTTTAGGCTAGAGATATAAAGTTTGGGATAATTGTGCACATACATGAAAAGTAAAGTTTCAGTTGAAGTCATCACCAACACTTCAACAATTGAATAGTGAATGGTTTTGTAGGTTTAGATGTTGAAGGATGTCTTTAATTAAAATCATAAATGGCCGTAAGGTCATTATTAATGTTCATGGTTAAGTTATTTAAGTGCGTAACTTATACAGCTTCTGCTTAGCCAGCAATGCATATAATTGTAAAAGTTAATACGAGTATAAAAGCCTCTTCGTGGCTCAACAGTTAGTTTGAATGATTATAATGCTAAAAACTGGGTTTCGATACCTGTGGTGGGCACAGCATAGTTAGCCCATTGTGTAGGTTTGTAATTAACGATGAAAAACAAACAAATATGAAATTTAAAACTGTTATTTCTTCTTTTGTTGTTTTTGATAAAGCCCATGTGACACGTTAATTAGTATTAATGAATATCTAATAAATTGACCAGCTGGATGTCAAGGAAATGTCCGATCTTCAAAATAAACTTGTCAGCAGGTAGAGGTGTCTGTTGTAACTGCGTCATGTTAAATAGTCCTGAAACATAACAGTAGGGGTAACACAAAGATGTAAACTATGATTATACTAGCAGACTCACAAAACATTTGTAGCCAAATTATTAAATCCAGGATTTCTAAAATAATACAAAGGAATTCAAATCGCAGATGCCAAAATCAATAAAGGTACTTGTCTGAGGCCTAACATTAGTTAAGCTTTTACTAAGTACGGCCTATATTCTATAAAGAGATAAGTTAACACTGTAACTTGTGTATGTTTTTTTTTTAGTTTAGTTAGGGCTAAACTTTACCATACTTGATACTATGAATAAACTTATGTTGTTCTACAGCCAAACGTTAGACCTTTTTAAAAACTTGGATAAGCTTTTAATATGTTGTCGTACAAAATGTCTACTAAAATATATTTACATCCACCTTTCTTTAACATCTGTTGAAGTGAATCATTTAGACAGTAAGGTGCACATGCATTTTCAAGACACACAAAAACTGAGTATTATAATAATAGATTTTGATGGTGCACATCAAGACAAAGAAGTGTTACAGAAATAAAACCTTATTTTCCCACTAATTTGAGAGATTTTTATATTTTCAAATTACTAGATTTAAACTTCCAAGGCACTGGATGTCAAACCAGAGCAACAAATAGGATAACAAACAATTTATTTTTAAATATTTATAAAACGATGTCAGAAACACAGTATTAGATCCCTTTCTGGTCTGACACGTTGGTTATGGTTTTGACAATTAACTTTACATTCTCATTCCAAAAGTCTCATACAGCATCAAGATGACGCTGAAATTGGTTTCTACAATGTTATGATGCAGTTCAAGGCTACATAAAGAAAAATATTTAATCAATTCCATTCTCTTTTAGCTTGTTTGAAATTGCTTAGGGTCAACACGATCCGAAACGTAACGGACGTACGTGAATTATGGGCATGATAGGATGGTTAAAGTTTGGATGATGTATAAAAAAAAATCTACAGATTGAGTTTGTTAAATTTGTTCTCTTGATACCATTTCTTAGTCGCAACTTAGTAGTTAAATATTATCGGTAAGAGTTTTTAACTTGAACAAGTTATCTAGATTGACTGCGTAGGCTTTGAGCAATTAGAGAAAAAAAAATACATAGTTTATGGGATTTAGTGAGGATCTAATTATCTATTTCTTGACATTTTGCCTTTTATCTATAATTTAAGTGAAAGACTCTCACGTCGCTAGTGGTCTACAGAAATCTATAGCCAGTGGTTGTCAACATTTTAAAGCACAACAAAATGTGACCCGATTTCATTGAAAATGATCCACCTATGTAAAAGTACATATAAGGTTTTGTGAAAAATCTGTACGTGATCGAGAAAAATGGATACCATTTTCGGATTCAGCGTACAGGAATTACCGTAGAACATGTAAAAATTTTAAGACAGTATAACCATCACAGGCCTGTGTAATTGTGAACTATAACAACATTAATTGTTTATTCGATATGAAACTTAGTACCTGATTTTTCTCTTGATTATGCAATGTCTAATCAGTTTACAGCAGATTAGTTGTTGCCTGTGTGTGTGTGTGTTTTTGTTATGATGCAAAATTGTATGTCTTATTCTGTGCTTTGGCACGAGTTCATAAGACCTTGTGCATTTTATGCTACTACTAAATTCAGTCCTGCTTTTTTTTCAGGCCAAAAAAATAACCACTAGGAGATATACACACACACGTGAATAATATTTATTGTACTTTGCAAGATATTTTGTGTAAAAAATAATAGTTTGGATCAAGAGTGTGAAATTCCACGGGATGTTAAAGTAAAACCTGAAATGGTTTAAGTTCTCTAATTTGAGATTGTACATCCACAAAATTTGAAATCCCATTATTATAGAATAATTAATCATGATACTTTTTTTCCGTTTCACTATCTTTTCCTCATTTCATTTAACAGTTATAAAGAGCATAAAAAAATGAATACAATTACTGTGAATAATTTATTATGATGATTCTTGAGAAGTTCGTCTGTAATAAGATACTGTTGCAATGAACCGAAGTACTAAGAAAGACATTTACAAACTTTCAGTTATTTTGAGCCCATATGGTATGGCCGGAACTTTGACTGGACAGAGTTACAAAGAAACCGATTCTGGATCTCGGAGACTGCTTGGAGAATGGAGACAATTTTACCCGCTAACCAATAAGGATCAGAGCAGCAAGGACCGTAGTAACGATGATGATGCCCTGCCGTGTGCTGTGGAAGTGACTGTTGGTGAGTTTATATCCATAGAAATAGGTTCTGAAACATCTGGAAATGATAAATCTGAAATTATTTGAAAATTTTCTTTAAAGATTGTAATATATTTGTTAATGTTTATATTGTTACAGTATTCTAAGTGAATGTATATTTTATGATTAAACCTCAGTCTTTAAAAAAACCCAAATAAATACCCAAATGTTTGTCGTATTTTCATGAATCTAGACATGTTAGACATTGTATTTTTTTCCCCTGAGTACTTACTTTAGTGATATTTGTCAGACATGCTGCAAAAGAGGGTTATGAATGTTGTATTTCAGGTGGCGTTAAGATGAAGTACCCTACTTCCCATGTCTTAACCACTGATACAGAAGAAGCCATGTTGTCGAGACTTTCAGCTTCTGTAAGTCATGGCTCAGCAAGTACTGCTTCCAGCTTTCACTCTGCTGCACAGCCGTCCGTAAAGTCTGGTTTCCATGGTGGTGTTCTGACTCCTCCAACGTCCCCTCGTGAGCCTTCAGCTTGGATAGGAAACCGATCTGCCACGAAACATACTTCGTTAAATCCAACAGTATCCCAGCCACAATTTTCTGTCTCTGTCAGTCCTCAGCTCTCTACCACATACAATTTGCGAGCAGGGGTTTGGCAAGACAGTACAACTTTCCATCCTGTGAGGCCCGTGGCACCTCCAGCAGAAAGCTCTGGGGTGGAAGACATGGTTGGTCATTGGAACTTCTCTGACCCCTGTGAGAGGTTGGACTGTTCCTGCTATAGGTAATCTACATTTTAAATTTATTTTATTTGCATTTTGCCTTTGCTAATTAACTTTCCCTTGACTACAGGGATATCATCAATCTTCCTGTTTTTTTGTTTTTTTTATCTTGTAGTGGAAATACATAACTGAATTTGTACACGTTTTCTAAATAATGTTTTTTTCCGAGAACAAAATTTATGAAATTTGATCCAGCATTTGTACCATTTTTATAGGCTGTGAAATGCCTGAAATTTTGCTTTGAAACTTAAAAAAAAAACAATACAAATACTTCCACTTTATATATTTAATTACTTGTCTGATATTCATCAGTATGTGTCTTTTGATAACTTATTTTGCCAGAGGAAGCCAGTCGTAAATTATACAAGAACGTAAAGATTTACCTGTCAATGATGAGCTCACCTTTCAGTGTGGCAAGTGTAACAACACTGTTACCTTTATCAAATGTGGGAGGGTTATACTTTGGCAGTAATATTTCTGGTTGCGATCAATTTAAATCTAATAATTATAGTTTGTTTTTAATAAATAATGAATAGAGTTCATGTATTTGTGTGTTGTTTAAATACAACAAAGATAACAATATGTTCAACAAAAAAAGGTTTGCAGGTAATAGCTTACCATACTGAGTCTCAAAGTCTTTATCTGTTTGCTTTAAAAGAGTGTTCCTGTAGTTTTCAAGGATATAATATAACACAGAAACGTTACCAAGAACTAAAATCTAAGTTCTCAATGTTCCTCCAGGTGATGCAGAAAATATGGTATTAAATTCACCTCTAGATAAATGAAATTAATATAAACATAAATGTCGCCCTAACCATAAATTCTGAAGTTTGATTAAAAGAAATAAATGTGAGATTAAAATTAAAAATTTTAAAAATTAGAAAAAATTAAAAGAGATTGAAGATTTGATGTTTACAGTTCACAAGACAGAAATAAAAGTTTTAAAATGTTTTTTTTTAATGAAATAAACTAGGTGAGCAACATCGGTTCTGTGGTTGTTTGAATAACAGAATTAGAATTTATTTGTTGAATTAGATTTTGAAAATTGATTTGTGAGTGTGCACTCGGTGACCTGAAAGTTCATCAGTTGGAAAAAGAGTTAAGAACTACTGCTTATTTGTAGAGCTGCGTGATTAAAGGAACTTGATAGTCGATTAGTTGTTGGGCTCATTAAATGATTACATTTAGTTAATTAGTTATTCTCACATGAAACTTGGATAGTTACCAAAATTAAAATTAAATCATTTAGTGTCACTTAAAATAATCAATTCACCAAAATTAAAATTAAATCAATTAATGTCACTTAAAATAATCAATTCACCAAAATTAAAATTAAATCAATTAATGTCACTTAAAATAATCAATTCACCAAAATTAAAATTAAATCAATTAATGTCTCAAAAATAATCAATTCACCAAAATTAAAATTAAATCAATTAATGTCACGTAAAATAATCAATTCGAATTGATTATTTTACGTGACACTAATTGATTTAATTTTAATTTTGGTGAATTGATTATTTTACGTGACACTAATTATGCTCATAAGTAACCTATTAATTAATTCAATTGCCCATACTTATTTCATAGATATTGTCTGGTAGTTAAACATATCATATTTTTTTTCTATCATTTAAGGTATTTTTTCTGATTTACCTGATACATAACGAAATGAGTTATGTGGAACTCTGGTGTATATGTATAGAGCTATTTTAGTAAATGATTTTACTGATAAAACTTAAATTGTAACTAATAAAGTTTTTGATATATTGACTAGATCAGTGTTTCCCAAACTCCGGTCCTTGACTTAATTTTTACTGGTCAGCAAGGTGTCTTCCCTGTGGAGAGGACTGACACTTGCTTAAGTTTCTTTCAATATTTGATGACTAAAAGCTGCCTAAGTCTACCTTTTCTTTTTGTTTTCGGAATTGGTTTTTTTTTGTATATATACTATTATGTAATTAACAGATGTTTTATTTGGAATGTCTGTCCCCAAAAATGTATTTCTAATTTTTACTGGTCTGCGATTACCAAAAGTTGGGGAACCACTGGACTAGATCACCCATTCAGTACCAAATGTATAAACTAGGCTGATATTGTAAGTAATTTAACATTATAGTTTTCTCATCTACCTTATGACTGTAGGTGTAAGAATAAAGGAAGGAGTGGAGTTTGTACCAAGTCGGGACTGGGAAGTAGCAGTTCAGTAAATCCTTTAAATCAAGGTTTCACAACTACTGATGGAGAGAGTGCTGGGAAAACAACTTTGACTTGCCCTTCTACTGCCAGTGCTTCCCGAAAAGGAGAGAAATACGATAAAGAAAGAACTCAGTCACGTTCTACGAGAGGAACAGTCCCTTTTCATCGGCGCAGTCAACTCCTGGAAGGACTTTCTACCGGGGATTTAGACAATTGTTTAATATCTCGATTTGTAGGAACTCCATCAGGTGGTTTTGGAACCATGACAGTTGTTTCCAGTTCAAATAGTATGTTTACTTACAGATCTGGGGGTCTGGCACCATCCACTCCTGGAACTTTACCTCACACCACATTTACTCAGCCCTCATCTGTAGATTCTGCTCACCCTGGAACCCCCACGCCAAGTCTGCTCGAAGGCCCGAGTTCTCAGGACCCAACAATGCCAACCCTTTCTCCTCACCCTCCACATATAAAGGAAGAATTAGAATCTCAGGACCAAGTAGCTCATATTCATAGCCCCGCAGTTACAAACCCCATTGCCAATACTTGTAGCGGGAGGGAGAAACCTCAAACTGATCAAGTTAGTAAAACATCTTATGCATTTTTCATAAATTTATTTTGGGACATTTCATATTTTTTTTTCTATATTAATTTAATTATTGATACATAACAAAAATTGGTCTTTATTTATTCAAAACTTGGGTTCTTTTTGTATTGCAAGAGAGAGAATGGTGTAAAGCATTTTTTGTTTATCTCAAATACGTGTTTTAGAACATAAAACAAACATGCACTAAAATAGAATATCCCAAAACTAGTATCAGAATTGAGGAAAAACAAAACAACTGTACATTACACAAATATATTATTTATTCACAACCATGTTTTCTCCACTAAAGGCATCATCTGGTGAAACCAGGGTCAAGAATAAATGACATATTTGTGAAACGTACAGTTGTCTTGATGTTCCTCAGTTCTGTAGTTATGGAGTTTCACCAAATACTGACGGTTTCAAGTATTAATTATACAAAACCAATATAATTTAACTAATTTTCTTAGTAAGTTATAAGTAGGCTAAAGAAATTCATTTAGCTGGTTGAGCTAAAACATGAGGATGGCAAACAGTGAAGCTAGAACTAAATAGCTATTTGCAGGAAAATGAAATAACACATATAATTGATCTTATAAGTAAAAAGGCTTACTGTTTCTTTTGGTTGATGAATAATCCAATGGTAATATCAGAGAGAAAATTATTGGATTTTTTTTTATTAGAGGGTTGTCATGTGGGTTTGATGATGTTTATATCTAAGTAAAGCAAGAAGATTGAAGGTTCCAATCTTCACATTTTGACTCTTCAATATCTATAGTATGTATTTGTAATTTACTTTGACACTCATAAAACAATAAAAGGGTAGAAAAAAATCTGAAATGGGCAATTCGGAGTAGAAGTGTGGCACATTACACAAGTCAAGATTGAGAATTCAAATATTTCCTTTTGAAATTAAGAAACTAAAACTTAGATAATATAAACATTTGAATTATAAGCTATGTTTGATATTAAGTTTATTAAAATGCATGGATAGTAAAGTAGTATAATAAGATTTTAAATGCAACAGAAAAAAACAAAACAGGTTGTGACGTGCACTTTAACCCACTGGTATTCGTAGAGTAGAATTAAGAAAAAAATATGTTAACAAGTAGTAAAAACCCTTTTAATCAATATTCATTTCAAACTGTTGGTAAACTTGCAGAATTTAATAGATGAAGCTAACCATCATCGTCATGTTAACAGACGTATACTCTATACCGTTTCTCTCTGTATTGTTTTCTTGATTTGTCGATAATTATTTTCACCTTACAAATTACTTTTTCTAATAAAACCCCGATGTGTTATCTCTGTTGAGCAAGAGATAAAAAGAGTCCATACAGTAACATGTGAAGTTTCTTGATTGACGGATGATATATCCACACAAAAATTCACAATTGAAATACTTTATATTGGATGTGCAGATGTAAACATACCAAAAACTGACTGCTCAAAATGAGTGTCCAATAAGAAAAGTCCAGTTTTACCGCATTTTTTTTTTTCTCGTTTCTGATGAGAATCATGTTAGTGAAAATATTCCTCTTTATGAAGAACAACATGTAATTATATGAAGCACTTAAACAACAATAGTGATTACACCAAGAATGTGACATACTCTGTATCAAATGAAATCAAACATTGTATTTTTGTATCTTTAGCTTACTGAAGATTATGGAATGTTTAGTAAGTGCTTCATATGATACTGTTCCTCGTTATTTGTGTGACCATAACGTGTACATGGAATGTTTAGTAAGTGCTTCATATGATACTGTTCCTCGTTATTTGTGTGACCATAACGTGTATATGGAATGTTTAGTAAGTGCTTCATATGATACTGTTCCTCGTTATTTGTGTGACCATAACATGTATATGGAATGTTTAGTAAGTGCTTCATATGATACTGTTCCTCGTTATTTGTGTGACCATAACAT